TTTACCCTGAATTCATTAATAAAGGTTACCTTGCTCACACTCCAAGAACACACTAAGTCTAAAGCCGTCCAAATAATTAGAATGAAGAAGCGTGGTATAATAATAATAATATCATTATTATAATAATATACAAAGGTTGTGTACTGGATTTCCCAGTAATTAATCGGTAAATAACTTCCTCGCAGACTTCACGTTACGGTCAAATTTAATAAGAATCCTCAGAGAAACGTTCAGTCCTGAGGGCAAATGTTATATTACGTGATCACACCCGGCTACTTGCGTCACACCATCTCACGCCCTGGTAACTTTTGTTACTGTTACGGATATTATTGAGACGACCGTCACAGAGCCTTGATCTGGCCGTCAAGGACGCCACTGTAGTCTGCGTCACGGAGCGTTGATCTGGTCGTTATGAACGCTAAGGTCAAGTACATGAAGTACATGGGAAAGACAGGAGAAGATTTTATAGTCCACATCAAGGCTATCTGGTGACGAGAACTATCTACTTCTATCTAGATTGAGGACTATCATACATTATCCAGGTGTTTGAGGAAAGGATAGTAAAGCATAAGGCTCTCTCCCCACCCTCCATTCCCTCGGCCTACTGCCGGCATGGAAAAAGGGGGAGGGGAGAAATATACCATACTGAAAAAAAATGGCATGGCATTTACAGCAGACTCAAGTGGATAGACGGTATAGGCTACAACTACCTCGACTTATTAGTGCTGTTTATACCTTAACTACTCGTTTGTACACAAGTGACTCTTCTTCTAGCAAGCACTAGTTCTACTTCTGGATACTGAGGTGCAGGCGGACGCACAACACTGCTGTGACTACCACAACCACCATTGATACCACTACTTCTACAACTATGATTATTAGTAATCTGAGAGGTTCATATAGTTAACTGTTCGTCCGTTAATTTCAGTTGGCCTCACTGTAATATCTAGTACAATTCTGTATTACAAAGTGATTGTCCAGCTTCTTCATAACTGAATTTATTGCCTTCGTGGTTACCAGCTTCAGTAGGTAGTTTGTGTCATTCTACTATAAATATATAAGTAAAAAACTTACACACGTTCGTACAGCATCTCCATACCTCGAAGCTTCATTTCACTGTTTCGAGTTATTGATTCATTTTGCACCTCAGAGTTCTTCGTGTTTGAGTGTATCAAAGTTATTTAATTCCTTAAAGGTTAGAATATCATCTCGCAATCTTCGTTTCCCAAGAGATCGGTTAAATACTCTAAGTCTTTCTTCATATGGTTTGTTCTGAGTGATAGTGTGAGCGACTTGCCTTTATCAGTATCCTCTCCAGTCTTTGTCTTTCATGTAATCTAGAGACCAAAGCTAGATAGCATATTCAAGATGCGGTCTAGCAGATACATTAGAGATTCAGTATGGTTTCTGACGCTTTATACTAGAAATATCTAGCTATAAAACCTAGCATTCTGTTCGTTTTATTGCTCGCATATAGATACTGTTTGGAACTTTTGAGATCCTTGTTTGTGATAACTTCAAGGTATTTCTCTTCTCTTGTTTCGGTTAGTTTGTTGCTAAATATTTTGTATTCCTGACTGAGAGTGTTATATTCAAAATACAGTACTTTGCACATGTCAAGATTGAAATTCATTTTTCAGGTCTCCGCCAACAGTGCTAATATATATATAATATATATATATATCACCCTGAATACTCACGATGTGCTTAGAATGGTGCAAAGTGCCTTTAGTTTTATGTCATCCGCAGATGTTGCTATCTGACGTTAGCGCCATCTTAAGATCATTTATGGACTTGAACCGATCTCAGATTATCATAATCATGCGGGAGCGCTAAACCCGTATGATTATACAGGGCGTGGGAGGGAGGAAGGTATTTAGGTTCAATTCAGGGAATCGGAGCACAGATCCAATTTCCTAGATCAAGAGCCCCTCGCCAGCGTCAAGGAACCGACCTCAGAGGAATTCCACTTTTAACGTCTGGCCACTCAGACTTCTCTGTTCACTACCACTCGTTGTTTACTATATGTAAGTCAGTCATTAATCCAAGCATAAAGTTTGTTTCCTGTACCATGTGTCTTTATGTTGAGTAGCAATCCTTGATGTGGCACCTTGGCAACTGTGTTCTGGATACACTGTCACGGACCGGGCCGCAGGGGGCGATCACCCCCGCACCCCCACCAGGTATACTCCAGGTATGGATGCCACCGACAGGAATGCTCTCCAGTACCAGCAATTTTTTCATTATTATCCGCATCATTTTAATCTCGTCTTGCAGTGCTGACTTTTCACATGTTTAACTCTTAGTTATATATTAAAATAAATTAAAATTGAACATATGTTGATGTACACATTATATTTTATTTTTTCAGCTTACTCCTCACTACGTTTCTCTTGTTTCCTTTTTAGTATCGTGATTCTGAACATTTTACCATTTTTTTTGTATCACTGGATTGCTAGTAATACAGGTTAGTTTATTTGTATCAACAAGAACACTGCTAGGCTCGTACAGTCTTAGTTTAATTATTTTTATCATCAATTACATTCCCATTTTTAGCATTTACAGTCCTCACCATAACGTAGATGGGAGTCACTGATATTAGGAATAATATTCATCTGTTGACTGATAAACTAGTACTCATATATTTGCCACTGTTGGGGTCAAGTTTCAAATACTGACTGTTTCTTAATTACACACGACTGATTGTGCAGGTTTCCTGATTATTATGTCCTGTCGTACTTCTTAAAGCAGTACATGATGTTTTGTTTCGCGACTTTTTCGTCAAGCCATCCCAGTTTCCGACCACCCTGAGAATGGAGAATTCCAAATACTGTCTGCGACTCGTGTGCCTTTTTAACCTCTTCCCATTAACCCACTTTTCGAACAATCTGTCCCTCTTGACATTTTGAGTCCTCTGAGTATTGTATATGTTCTTCTCACGACTCCCTTTTATTATTTCTTGTGCTCTGCAGTTGAAATTTCAAGCTAACAGATATTATCCTACCTTAGCTCATATCAAAGCTCTCCCTACCTAAATTATGCTACCCCGCTCCCTAAGATGCCATCTATAGCAGTCGACTAATACCCAAGTACCTAGTTCAGGCGGCGAACATGGGCAGAGGACCTCGGGAATGCTACGTACGTCTGTACCTGCCCAAGATTGAACCCGGGTCTATCGGTTCTGAAACGAAAGTGTTACCACTGAGCTACGAGTCAGAATGACACAGCCTTAATGTACAAATTAGAATAACAGTTTATATTCTGAAGTTACTGTAGTCAAACCTGAAGAGTTTTGACAGCATCACTAACTAAAAGAATATAATTACGTATAAAATGGTTATATATACCGAGAGTATGTTGAAAATGACAATGTGCGGGCTATGATATTTTAATTTATAGATATTTCGTCCGCCAAGCACTTCACCAATGCATTCAGACGAGAAAAACATGAGGGATATGTAGGGGTGTGAGAGGAGGTCCGTGAGGTCAGCATGATCTGCGCCCGGGACTGATGTCTCGGGTAATGGCTCTGTTGGTTTTAAGTACGATCAACTTTGTTAAAACCGCGATGGTGAAAGATCACGTTTTGCGAGATGGCGTTACTAGATACAGTTGTGCATGCGTTAGGTGTCATATGGCTTGGCCGCAGGCGCACTCGCCTTTCAGACTGAGGTTCAGGGATCGATCACCCGGTACGGCTGGAAAACATTAGGTCGTGTTTCCATAAGACACCTGCTGTCCCTGTTCACCCATCAGTAAAAATGGGTACCTGGGTGTTAGTCGACTAGTGTGGGTCGCATCCTGGGACAAAACTGACTTAATTTGCCCGAAATGCTCTGCATTACAAGCTGCTTTCTATATAGTAGTATGTCATTTATTATTGTTATTATCATTATTATTGTCACCCATAGAGAACAAAGCAACTCACATTCCTTTACTCTCTTTTTAAGTCCTTACAAGCTTTCCCTTCACATAATATTTATCACAGCCTCAGCAAGGTGTGGTGGAAACTCCTGCAGTTATCCTACTGTTTTAGTCGTCCTCTAGACTAAGTCTATTATGGTGCTGGAGGCTCTGTTGACGACTATAATGTTGGTTTTGGCTACCACAAAAAATTATTTTAAAAAAGTAGGCTATATATTTAGTTACTCTTTCAGAAGCAGATTTACCTTATGATAAGGTACGAATTTAAAGTTAATAAATAACATTATATATATATATATATATATATATATATATATATATATATATATATATTATATCCATATATATCCATATATCCATATATATCCATATATATCCATATATAATCCATATATATATCCATTATATATCCATATATATATCATATATATATCCATATCCATGAAACTACGAAACTAGTGGTTTTTGAATAATTTACGAAACTGCCGCAGGCCAGGATTCGACCCCAAGACATTGTCCCGCCTCAAGAGGCCACGCAAAGTACATGGCAATCTTACAACGAGTGTCCTCGTAACATGAAACAAGACTAGTTCGCTAGGCTCATGTTTGTAGGATTGATGGCTCAGTTGGTAAGGTGACATGTGCATTGTGTGGCATCTTGAGGTGGGACAATGTGTCGTGGGGTCGAATCCTGGCCTGCCGCAGTTTGGTAAATGATTCAAAATCCACTCGTTTCATGGAGATTATATATATATATATATATATATATATTATATTATAATATATATAAAATATATTAATATAAACCATTTTTTACAAAATGTCGCAAAATAAGACACGACTACATTTTAAGGTACACGTTTATAACAGTTATTTATTAAAATGCACTTATATGTAATTTATATTCTCTTAGTCAAATATTAATTTTCCACAATTACCTTAGCTATCCACTATGAAACTATGTATAAAATATTCCCTAAAACTTAGGCATATACGCCGTGGCAACCAAGAGGTACTATCAATTACTGACCATCGTATGATCCTTGAGAACCAACTATGCATACAAATGTACTCACCTTTACTCTCGAAATCAAGAGGGAAAGTAATGGGCAGACAGAGCGTTTACACAGTGGCAGTGGACGATGAGCGTACCTTCCTCCCCACACACCCTGCTAGACCACACTAACACACCACTAAGAGAAAGTTCAGAACTGGCTCCCTGGACACGCCAAGACGCAGCTAGCTATATAGTGAGTGGGAGCCCTGACGTCAGACATCCAGCCAGAGAAAGGGGAATTCCAATGAGAGAACATCTCTGCTGGGTCAAGTTGTGTTTCGCCATTAGTATTTTCGATGACTTGTCAACAGTAGGAAAGAATCCGAGTGCTAATTAGTGACGTTAAATTGCTTTGTTGGTTAGAATATTGTGTAATAGTCATCCGACTTGTTAGTAAGTTTATTTAGGTACAGGTCCACATACGTACAATTATCATACATAATAACGTGAATACTACCTAGGATAACGCAAAAACGACAAAGTAACTTATTTCCATTGTAATATCTTATTTGAAGCCTAGAAGTAAGTTAAAGTAGAAATCAATTATGATTGTAACCGTAAAAAGTTAAAACAGCTCTATGACCCATGGGGGTCATAGAGCTGTTTTAACTCTAGATACTCTATGACCTCTTGGGGGGTCATAGAGTGCCTGGAGAATTAGCAGTAATTAGATTCGGTCTAGAAAAATGGAGGGTGGCTTCAATTCCTTATATCAAGAGCCCTTCACCGGCATTCAAGCTGCCTCCCTTGAAGGAAGACGAAGGTATGTAAACTAATCAAACAAGCATTCTAAGCTTAGCGTGAGTGTATTACTGTACTGTATGGCCATAACAACGTGACTATTACCGTACTGTATGGCCATAACAACGTGACTATTACCGTACTGTATGGCCATAACAACGTGACTACTACCGTACTGTATGGCCATAACAACGTGACTACTACCGTACTGTATGGCCATGACAACGTGACTACTACCGTACTGTATGGCCATAACGTGACTATTACCGTACTGTATGGCCATAACGTGACTATTACCGTACTGTATGGCCATAACAACGTGACTATTACCGTACATGTATGGCCATAACAACGTGACTATTACCGTACTGTATGGCCATAACGTGACTATTACCGTACTGTATGACCATAGCAACGTGACTATTACCGTACTGTATGGCCATAACAACGTGACTATTACCGTACTGTATGGCCATAACAACGTGACTATTACCGTACTGTATGGCCATAACAACGTGACTATTACCGTACTGTATGGCCATAACAACGTGACTATTACCGTACTGTATGGCCATAACAACGTGACTATTACCGTACGTATGGTCATAACAACGTGACTATTACCGTACTGTATGGCCATACACAACGTGACATTACCGTACTGTATGGCCTAACAACGTGATATTACCGTACTGTATGGCCATAACAACGTGACTATTACCGTACTGTATGGCCATAACAACGTGACTATTACCGTACTGTATGGCCATAACGTGACTATTACCGTACTGTATGGCCATAACGTGACTATTACCGTACTGTATGGCCATAACAACGTGACTATTACCGTACTGTATGGCCATAACAACGTGGCTATTACCGTACTGTATGGCCATAACGTGACTATTACCGTACTGTATGGCCATAACAACGTGACTATTACCGTACTGTATGACCATAACAACGTGACTATTACCGTACTGTATGGCCATAACAACGTGACTATTACCGTACTGTATGGCGATAACAACGTGACTATTACCGTACTGTAAGGCCATAACAACGTGACTATTACCGTACTGTATGGCCATAACGACGTGACTATTACCGTACTGTATGGCCATAACAACGTGACTATTACCGTACTGTATGGCCATAACAACGTGACTATTACCGTACTGTATGGCCATAACAACGTGACCATTACCGTACTGTATGGCCATAACAACGTGACTATGTTACCGTACTGTATGGCCATAACAACGTGACTATTACCGTACTGTATGGCCATAACAACGTGACTATTACCGTACTGTATGGCCATAACAACGTGACTATTACCGTACTGTATGGCCATAACAACGTGACTATTACCGTACTGTATGGCCATAACGTGACTATTACCGTACGTATGGCCATAACACGTGACTATTATCGTACTGTATGGCCATACAACGTGACTATTACCGTACTGTATGGCCATAAAACGTGACTATTACCGTACTGTATGGCCATAACAACGTGACTATTACCGTACTGAATGGCCATAACGTGACTATGTTACCGTACTGTATGGCCATAACGTGACTATTACCGTACTGTATGGCCATAACAACGTGACTATGTTACCGTACTGTATGGCCATAACAACGTGACTATGTTACCGTACTGTATGGCCATAGCAACGTGACTATTACCGTACTGTATGGCCATAGCAACGTGATTATTACCGTAATGTATGGTCATAACAACGTGACTATTACCGTACTGTATGGCCATAACAAAGTGACTATTACCGTACTGTATGGCCATAACAACGTGACTATTACCGTACTGTATGGCCATAACAACGTGACTATTACCGTACTGTATGGCCATAACAACGTGACTATTACCTTACTGTATGGCCATAACAACGTGACTGTTACCGTACTGTATGGCCATAACGTGACTATTACCGTACTATATGGCCATAACAACGTAACTATTACCGTACTGTATGGCCATAACGTGACTATTACCGTACTGTATAGCCATAACAACGTGACTATTACCGTACTGTATGGCCATAACAACGTGACTATTACCGTACTGTATGGCCATAACAACGTGACTATTACCGTACTGTATGGCCATAACAACGTGACTATTACCGTACTGTATGGCCATAACAACGTGACTATTACCGTACTGTATGGCCATAACAACGTGACTTACCGTACTGTATGGCCATAACAACGTGACTATTACCTTACTGTATGGCCATAACAACGTGACTGTTACCGTACTGTATGGCCATAACGTGACTATTACCGTACTGTATGGCCATAACAACGTGACTATTACCGTACTGTATGGCCATAACAACGTGACTATTACCGTACTGTATGGCCATAACAACGTGACTATTACCGTACTGTATGGCCATAACAACGTGACTATTACCGTACTGTATGACCATAACAACGTGACTATTACCGTACTGTATGGCCATAACAACGTGACTATTACCGTACTGTATGGCCATAACAACGTGACTATTACCGTACTGTATGGCCATAACAACAGGTAAATATAACCGAACTTGAACTACTGAACAGTTTTCTTCATACTGTATCTAGTGATCACTACTCATACATAATGTAATTAATATCTTGTAGTGTGAGCGTCAGTTTGATTCCCCGAGACTTGCTCGCATCACCATTAACAATCACAGTAATGTTAATACAGGCAAAATGTGGGAACAAGACGATCAGTTGTCTTGAATGTTGTTTGTATAATTATTACTGAGTTATCCTATTTGTTTTTATGTTAGCTCTCTACTTCCCTTTACACATCCGCAAACTTCTCCATCAGTTTGTGCAACTCTTCTAGTTAGTTAGTTAAAGATTAGCCGGTATTCTCCCGGCCCGGGCCTTTTCCAAGTGGTGGCCCGGCCTTGGCTCCCTCTTTAGGGAGTGTCTGAGACCTAAGTCTCCCATGGGAGGAGGCACAAGTACCTCCTCATCTTTGGGACCAACTGTCCCCAGGCCTAGCCACAAGCTAGGCCTCTCTGGTCTGCCATCCCCGCCCCAAGGGGGCAAATGGGAATGACAGTCTTATGAGCTAAAGGCTCGGGCTCAGGCACCTATCCTACCCTAGAAGGGTTAGGCATGGTGTCGATCCAAACTCTTCTAAACATCCCCACAACACAGTGTTACTGGTAAAACAAATAATTGTGACAGCTACCACTTTATATAAGTTTCATTATGTTTAATGACCATACACTCACAACGCTCACTCTAACATTCACTCGTTTTGTAACTACATCTGTAATCACAGCACAGCCGCAGTGATATCACATAGCCGCCTCAGGCAGACCTTTCATGAAGAATATCTTCCATTTCTTTTTAGTCTACCCCAACCTAAACTTATTGTTTAGCTAAGCTAAACGTTCCTTATCTTCTAACCTACCCTAATTTAACTTATTGTTTAGCCACGCTAAACAATAAGTTAGTCTCTGTTCTTGAGCTAAGTTAATTAACAAAGACTAACATCATTAGGTCTACCAGCCTCACCTAATTGAAAGTACCTGCCAATTCTCCACATTCACCTCATGTCCTACCTTCTTCCCTTCCTTTATCAACAATTCTTTGATTTCCTCATTCACTTGATAAATCTCACAACAGATAAGTCGAAAATTCATGTACCTCTCTAAACAACGATACTTCAGTTTTTAGTCTTTTTTTCATCACACTATCGACTGTAACTACAATGTCACACAATATCTAATTTAGTGTACATACATCTCATTATATGTTCTTTGGTAAAATATACATTATATTGACATATGGTGGAGATGAATAAGGTGGTATGATTGTATAGTCATGTAAGGGTGATAAGTTTTAATTTTTTTTTTGTTACTTGGGAAGGGGTTAATTGTTATAGTGTTTTGTTTTATAGAATGAATGTCAGCAATTACTGTATAAAATATTTTTCACCTGGTGAAGACTTTTTGTTTGATATGGAAAATCGAGACCTGAACATGGGTTTGTGGTTTAACCAACGCCTCGATCCCTGTTATACAGTGGGGGCAGCAACAGTTTGGGAATGGTTTTACTAGTAGCAGCTGGATTTAATCCCTTAAGTAAAATATAACCTTATAGGACCCTGTTTTCAGTATTATTTTGTAAATGTCTAAATAATCGCAGCACCACACACACACACACACACACACACACACAACACACACATATATATATTATATATATATATATATATATATATAATATATATATATAATATATATTTATTATAATTATATATATTAAAATATATATATATAATATATAATATAGGGAGGTACCACCTCTG